GGGCACTTTGAGACTCAAGGGTACGGGCAGGAACAATTTGTGATGGCCAGACCATCCCATTTGACTATGCTTTCTAGACCAGGCCTTTTGAAGGATTCAGCCCTTGAATTTGAACACAGCTATGGTTTTGGGTCTGGTCTGGTCTGCCACAGTCACTTTCTCTTCAGCATGATAACTCAAAAACTATTTTACTTTTTCAAACTTTGCAGACACATTATAAATAATTTAGAACTGGTGAAATTTTGATACATATCACACCAAAACTGAAACAGTGCTGCACTGTGCAGCAAAGAGAAGGGTGACTGCAGAACATTGTGAATGTGATAAGACCTTGTGAATGTGGTAAGTCAAAAAGTATTTGATTGATCCAAAACTGAATCAGCAGTGCTAGGTGGCAGTAAAAGGACAAGACAGCTGCTATAGAGATTCACTATGTAGACAAACACAATTCTCAATCACTGAATTAAGGTGTTTCATTCAGACCCATTGCTATAGGTGTATAAAATAATTTGTGAAAGAATGTGTTGTTCTGAAGAGCTCAGTATATTTAAGCATGGTACTGTCATAGAATGCCATTTTTGCAATTAGTTCATGAAATTTCTTCCCTGCTACATATTCCACGGTGACCTGTAAGTGGTATTATTGCAAAGTGAATGCCTTTAGGAACAACAGAAATTCAACCATGAAATGGCAGACCACGTAAAGTAACAGAGTGGGGTCGCTGAGTGCTGAGGCACATAGTGCGAAAAAGTCATCAACAAAAGTTTTGCCCTGAATGATTTGCAACAAGCAAACTGTGGAACATGGACTATTTCATTTACATTGTGAACCTAATTGAAAACTACAGAGTTCTAATGTTCCTTTGGCATTAACCCCAACACAAAAACTGCACCAGGAGCTTCATGGAATAGGCTTCCATGGCTGAGTAGCTGCACGCAAGCCGAATATCACCAAGCACAATGCCAAGCATCAGATCAAGTGGTGTAAAGCATGTCACCACTGTAGTTGGGAACAGTGGAACTTGTTCTGTGGAGTGACAAATCATGCTTCTCTGTCTGGCAGTCTGATGGATGGGTCTGGGTTTGGGAGATGCCAGGAGAACCTGCATGACTGCATTGTGCCAACTGTAAAGTTTGGTGGAGGAGGGATAACGGTGTTAGGTTGTTTTTCAGGGGTTGGGCGAGTTTGATGTGGAAGAAATTGAATGGCCCACACAAAACCTTGACCTCAACCCTATTGAACACTTTTGGAATGAACTAGAACAGAGATTGCAAGTCAGGCCTTCACATCCAACATTGGTGCCTGACCATACAAATGTTCCTCTGGATGAATGGGCAAAAATTCCCAGAGACACACTCCATAAATCCGTGGAAAGCCTTACCAGAAGAGTGGCAGCTGTTATAGCTGCAAAGGCAGGACCAACTCTATATTGATGCGTATGGATTTAGAATGGGATGTCATAAAAGTTCCTGTAGATGCAATTTCAAGGTGTCCTAATACTTTTGTCCATATAGTGTACTTAATCTTGTGAATATAGTAAATCTCTGCAAAAAGTCAACAAAATATATCATAGTGTAATTTAATCGTATCACTTCTTGTCAGTAGTGGCACATGAAGGGACAGTCACAGGTGCATATCTGGTGAACCTTGGTGAACAAGTCACACAAAGTTGAGCTTTTTAATGAAGATGGGAAGAATGTGTAGGGTATGCTTTGGCAGTACTATGGTCATATTTTCCATATACTGAGGTATTTTCATTTGATGAAATTTATCGTGGGAACCCCCACCCAAAGTTTCAAAATATAGGAGTAACACTGCTGTTGAAAATACAGTCAGAATACAGTATACTGTTTAATAATATATAAACTGTCCGACGTATGAAAAACCTGATACTACTCAAGCCGAGTCTAGGGCGCTATACAGGCTCGGGTGCTGTGGGACAAGTAGGGATTAAACAGGGGGGGTGGTGTTACAGGGCTGTCCATAGAATACATTTTTGTTGTTCCAACAGCATCTAGTTAATGTACAAAGGCGTCTAATATTGGTGAATATCATTTTACTAGCCACTCACCCCGCTCTGTATTATTTTAATTGCACTTCAGACATACATTCATGTCACACCACTCTTTCACATAGGGCATTGGAGGGTGGGGGGAGCTGTGCAGGTCCTGGGTCGGCTGCTTTGGCAGCCCACAGCTGGACAGCGCG